CCCCCCCCCCCATACTCATACTGTATGTACACGCTTACAGTAGTTCTGCAAGAGAGTGTTTATTGCTCATGTCAAATCACTGTTTCCCACTGTGGAGCACACTGTATCTTCTTCAGTGTATTGAAATGCTTAATTTGATACATAGAGAAGCACAGATGGCCTTGCATTTTAGACACCAGAGAAATAGAGACAGCCTAAACAATTTTTTTCTCTAGTTCCAAACCCATTTTCTTTATTTCTGATACCTCTGCCACTCCCCTTGCTGCCACAGTGAGAGATTAAGGAGTCATTTTAATGAGCATAGAGCAGAGCGTAGACACATGGCGAGAACTGTGAACTGAGAAAGAAGATGAATCAACAGTAAAAATCTTCAAATGTCTTGATGCATTAGCTCGAAAGTTTTCCATAATGCAACTTAGCATGTTTAGCATTTCTATATTATGTAATGTATAATCATTATCTAATGTACCGTTTATTCAGATTGTCATGAAACTCATACATTTACATATATATTCATAAATGAGTGCACATGAACTGAAGAGTTAGGTATTATATGCATATTTGACTGCTGTTTTAATGTGATTACCAGATATCAACAGCACTAAGTGAATTGAATATTTTCTTGTTGTATTTTAAGCTGCATCTAGTATGTAGCAATGGGTTATTATATTAATTAATTATTAATTAGGGTTCTCTTTGCAAAGTATGCATTCTTGCAGCAAAAAAAGTTTGACGAATCAGCTGAATGAAAAAAAAACACATCTTTGAGGTCATTGTATAATTGGAACATAAATCTTAATTTGTTCCAAAAAAGTAGGTTAAGAGACCTCCCTAGACATTGAGAATCCCTGTTTTAGACCATGAAATATGAACATTTGTTTTGTTTTATACTGAACACTGTTGTATAAAAGCAATAAATCAATAGAGATTGTGCTATATTGCGGTTATTGGGATGGCTGTGCTTTGGAGTCATGTTTTTGCATGCCAATAACCACGATGTAGCTCAACCTCCATAGTGTTTTTTTGCATGAACATTAAAGGTGTTGATTGCAAAAAACAAAATGAGTCTTGAATAGAATTGGAACCCTGAGTCTGTTTTCTATCTCTCAGTACTTTTTAGAATGAAGCACAGCCCCTGTTTTCAGCCCTGCGTTGTTCCCTCACATACTTTGTGTAAATGTTTACCATTGTATCCTCTCAAAGAACGAAGGACTAGCCCGTTCGCCTGTTCGTGACAGAAGTCAACGTGCTAAACTGTGACTCAATGACACACTCAATGAGGAAAGGAAAGAAAAGGAGTGAAAAAGACTTGTTAATAATGCACGCTTTGTGTGCGAAAACAGCGGCTGCTCTTTCTGTGTAGAGGAAACCTATCGATCCCACATGTGTGGCAATGAAAGCCAGTTTGTTGCTCCATTGCTCAGAGATCTGTTTGCAAACAGGAGGAGAAGTATCACAGAGATGTTGGCCATGTTGGGAAAGGCAAAGAGGGTGACACACTTTGGAAATTGGCCTTTACACATGCCATGTGCTGCTGCCGTTCAACATTTGATGACTTTGTTTAGCTCCCTGTCAGATGGAACAGGAGGTGTTATGTCAGTAAAGAAATGTGAACTAGTTGGCAGCTTTTGCTTGATGTCTTTTGCATTGTGCATTTGGTGCTATACAGTCCATTCAAGGCATTGCTAGCAAATACAAGTTTAGCTACACTAACTTCATTGATTGTGTTTACAAATGTCTCCATAATTTCAACTTCATTTCAAATCATTTCAAATAATTCCATAAACTTCAAAACGCTTCCATAAATCAAATTGTTAAAGAGTTATTCACCCAAAAATGATAATTCTGTCATCATTTACTCACTCACATATGAATCCGAACCCATAAGGCACATATACAGAGATTTTTACTGAAGCCTGAGAAATTTCTTTGCCTCCGTTGAAAGTCTAATCCATCAAAACTGTGATGCTTTAAAAAGTTTATAAAGACAAAAGTAATCCATATGAATCCAGTGTTAAAGCTT